TGTGATCACCGGTGCATTGTAGCACGGACAATGAGTGGCTCCTAGCAGGCTTTCAAGCGAGGGCGGGGAGTGATCGTCGAGGCAATGTGTGACACAGACAAGGAGCGACTCCTGGTAGGCTTCCGGTGGTAAAGGACATATGAATGAATCGAACATACACCGGAATGAGAGGGATCCAGAGACTGTATATACAGTTGAGTATAACTTAAAAAAATTGATTAGGACTACCTATACCAATAAAATACATTTACTTTTCGGTGACCTATCACTTAAGAACTCTAAAGTTAAGCATGTTTGACTTAGAGCAATTATGAGAAGGGTGACCTTCTAAGAAGTTCTTGGAAAGTGTGCGAGTGAGGACAAAGTATACTGAAAAATCTTGTGTTGGTTTGTGGGCACAATTGTCAGTCCTGAATAAGTTGTCAGACTGTTACACATGTTATATGATCCTATTGAGAAGAAAATGCCTATACATGATATAGATATTAGTAAGAATAATGTTCATGATGGTGACCAACAATATTATGTTGATGATAAAAAAAACTCAGAGATGATTTATATGTTCTTGTTGATGCTAAAGAGGAACATGAGATGTCACAAGATGATAATCTTGATGATGCTCCTGAACTATCTTAAGCCCAATTTAAAATGTCCAACAAGCAAAGGAAATTATCTACTAAGTACTCTTCAGATAAGTATATGACCTTTACTAATGGTGGAGAACCTAAATATGTTGAAGATGCCTTGGAGAGTGAAGAAAAACAACAATAGTCAGATGAGATGACATTCTTGCACAATATCACACTTATAACTTGGTGAAATTCTTTATTGAAAAGAGGGCCTTAGAAAACAAATGGATATTTAAGGTAAAACATAAGAGTAATTCTACATCTTGAGATATAAAATCAAAATAGTGATGAAAGGTTTCAGACAAAAAAAGTGTTGATTTTAATAAAATTTTCTTACTTGTGAAGATGTCTTCTATTGAAGTTGTTTTGAGTTTGATTGTTACTCTTAGTTTGGAGGTAGAACAAATGGACATGAAAATTATTTGTCTGCATGGTGATTTGGAGGAAGAGATTTATATAAAAGAACCTCATGACTTTCAAGTTAAAAACAAGAAAGACTATGTGTGTACATTGAGAATAACTTATGTGGTTTGAAGTGGAACTTAAGATAATGGTATTGAGAACTTTGTGTCTTTGTCAAAAAGTTTTTTGATAATAATTTTATTATTTTGTTATTATATGTTGATGACATACTTATTTTTCAGAGAAAATATTTTCAAGATTGACATGTTAAAAAAGCAATTAGGTGAGTTATTTGCTATGAAAGATATGAGAGTTGTAAAGCAAATTCTTAGTATAAGAATTGTCTATAAAATTGAAGATGAGACTTTAGGATTGAATGAGAGAGGTCATTAGGGTGAGTGAGCACCCACCATTGTGAGAGAAAAAAGAGAAAGCTTTAACTAAGAGCAATCTCAGTAAACATATGTTTGCAAAATTGTTCACTTTTGGATTATGCTAAAAATTTGATATGTGTTTCTTTGTTTGAATAGATGGATAATTGAAACAAGGTTTATGTTGCTTTGTTGTTAAGTTTAATTTTTCTTGTGACTTTTGAACCTTTGATCACAATTTCTTTGATTTGAGGTCATTAGAGTAAGTGAGCAGCCACCATTATGAGAGAAAAAAGAGAAAATCATTTCGATATAAACTAAGAGTAATCTCAGTAAACATATGTTTGCAAAATCATTCACTTTTGAATTGCGCTAAAAAATTAATAACAGTTTTATGACATATGTTTCTTTGTTTGAACAATTAGATAATTGAAACAAGGTCTATGTTGCTTCATTGCTAGGTTTAATTGGTTGATTATAAGCACGATTTATACACTTATTTGTGATTCTTTTATACCTTTGTTTGATCAAAATTTATTTGATTTGGATGACTCGTGTTTTTTACTTCTTACGTTGAAGGAGTTTTTCATATTAAACAACTTGTGCCTACTTTTTATTTTATTATTTTAATTATTACAATATTTGTTTTTATTCTTCTTAAATTCTTAAAAGTTTGAGGATTTAATTCTATTGCATTATTTATTATTGTATTTATTTTGTTGTATTAATGTCTCTCATTATAGTGAATCTAAAGAAGAGTCAACACTACAATTTACATGCACTTTTATGACAATCTAAGTAAACATATTATCGTTTAACTATGACATAAATGTGAATGTATTAAGCAAATAACAATTGAGGCATAAAAAAAATAATACTAGTAAGAATTTTTCAGCATTTTAACACTTGTTGTGAAGTAGACATGCATGAGGAAATTTTAAAAATAGAACATAATTTCTTATAACACCAAGAAAAAATGAAATTGTATATGAACAGAAAATGTACAAAATGAAAAAGAATGACAAAAGATAAGACTTATCTGTAGACTAATAAATAGATTCTTAAGGAGAGTACAAACATTGGCTACCAACACAAAAATCAAATTGTATATAAATAAAAAATTACATGAACTAATTATAAATCACAATAAATAAAATAAATTCATAGAGATAATTCATTAAGATTAGAAAAATTGAAAATCAGATTAAGATTAAAATTCATATTGCTAAAAAATAGAAGTTACAAGTTTATTAAAATTTAAAATTATCACAATAATCATAAAGATAAAGATTATGATTCATTAATTTTTTTAATTTTCTTTTCACTGATTGTGTGTCACACTTTACTAGCAATGATTTAGTGGTAGGACTATCTTATGAAATATTATTATCTAACCCATATATTTTGATTGAAAAAAATATTTATTTTAGTTTAAATTTGAAAAATTTTATAATAATTTTATATTAATTTAAAATTTTAAAATATTCAATATTATTTAATTTAATAAAATATTTCTTATTAATAATTAAAATAATAATTATTTTAAAATTTATTTAAAATAAAATAATCCTATAATATATTTTATTTTTCTTAATTTAATAATAACTGCACCCGAAAAACTCTAGTTAACAGCATGTTACAGTCTCAAATTGGAATAATGTTCTTGTACATTTTCTCTTTTAACTAGAAAAAAAAAAAAAAAAAAAAGCACACACATACACTCCCCTAGAATCTTCCTTTTTCTTTTCTTTATTATTGTCAATTTTCCCCTTTCCTTGTCTTGTAATAATTAGAATGGGCCTTTGCTTCAACAATTAGAATGGCATGAAATCATTGGGCTTAAGTTGTATTGGCCTTTCACTAACATGGGCTGCACGTTGACAAAATTCTTGTGGGCCGAAAACAAAATTAGACAAAATAAAAATTTTTGAAAAACAAAAACAGTTGACACAAGATGAAAGAAGAATGACCAAAAATAAAAGAAAAAGATGAACAAATAGCCACCTTGTAGTTAAGAAATCTGTCCTAGCGTTAGAGTTGCTAAACATATATAGTAAAAGTCTCAATTTCAAATTTGTTTTTAACAAATTTAATAGCAAACACTTTCATCTTTAAAAATGTAAAATTCTCATATAAAATATTGTGTAAATCAAAGAAAAAAATTATTTTATACCAATTTTTACTTTATGAATAATGATAAAAAGAAGAAATTAAGAGCATGTTTAATTTCCTTTTTTAAAATAATTTTTTTATTTTTAAAATAAAATATAATACAAATTTGTATTATATTTTATTTTTAAAAACAAAAATTTATTTTTTTTAAAAATCAAACATGTTTTAAATATTCAGTTTTTGTTTTTACCTACCCACGATTATAATGCAGAAGCCTCATTGGATAAATTTGAATTCATCAAAATTCATGACTTATCATTCGTACCAAATAGCAAAATTCAAATCGAAAATATTCTCAGGCCAATTAGCCGAACACCCTTTGAAGCATAGAGATTATTGAAGTAGTTTTGTTTTTTTTTTTTTTCATTTAAATGGATAAAAATCAAATTCCCATAAATTAAAAAAAATGTTATATTAATCTTTTTAAAGAATTAATGTATTCATTACTTAAAAATTAATGTCACTAACATTTATAATTTTTAAAAAGATTGATGTGAGACTTTTGTATTATTGAAAACTAACGGATGTACATTGACTGTAGTTGGAGAGAGACAGAAAGTTAGGGGCTTGTTTGTTTCTGCTTTAATTTTTAAATTTTAAAAATTATATTTTAAAATAATTTTAAAAAATTGTTTTCAAGAAGAAAATGAAAATAAAATTATGTTAACAAATAAATTTTATTTTACTTAAAAAACTATTTTTTAAAAATAAAAAACAAACAAATGCTAAATATCTCCTTTATTTTATTTTTTAAACCTTACAGAAATAATGAAATATAAGGAAGACAAAAGTTGAGCCTTTCAATACTTAACTGTATGAATGACTTCCTAAAATTTGACTGCAAGCCATCTATGCCTGAAACTAACGCGTCCTATCCTAAATTTATTAATAGTTAACTGTTAATAACATATTCTTACTTATAGAATAAAAATTATTAAAAATTTAATCAATAATCAGAAATATATTAAAAAAAATATTGCTAGCATTTTTTATTTTTTAAATTAATATTAAACTATTGTGAATAGTATATTTTGTCTTAAAATTTAATAAACTCTCATTTACTTTTAAATTTTGTAAAATATGATTTTTTCAAAATTTTTTAAAAGTAAAATAAATAAATTTTTATAAAGTTAAGTATTAGATGAGGTGTCTAAAAAACAAAATTTTTAAAAATATTAATTTTTAAAAAAAGTAAAGTAAATAACTTTTTATAAAGTTAATTAATAGATGAGGGGATTAAAATGCTCAACTGAAACAAATCCTTATAACATCGTATATTGATGAGGCTTTCAATAATCAAAATGACCAACAAAAAAGAATCTGCGGTTCCTTGATCAAGACATGAATTGTCTTTAAGCAAAAATTAAGTGAAATAGCATCCTTCATCCCACCCTTGAAGTTAAGTTCTTTTTATCATGTAGAAATAAGAAAACAGAAGCTTTCATTTTCAAAATCATCACACAATAGCCTATGTCTGATTGTCTATTTATACTACACACACACACAAAGATGAGAAAATTCTCAACAATAAACTTGTAAAACTTCATTGACGACCTCATACAATAAAAGGTCGAAAATTTTATGCTCAAACACCAAACAAATTTCCTCAAAGCTTTCACTCCCACATATACGTTTTAACGTGCAATCTAACTCTCCTATATCCTGTTTTGTCAAAGTACTAAGCTTTAGCATTAGTTCTGAGTAATACTCTGCTTCCTTGTTGGCATCAGTGCAGGCATAACCATTATTTGTACTTGCTCTCTCTTCAACACCATCACTCAAGGACAACAGTGATGAAGATTCCCACTTCGATTTTGAAGCTATGGGACTCGTGCCATCTGCATTAACAAAAAAAACATATATCAAGGTGAAGTTCACAGTATATTGAAATTTCCACAGGATGTGAATTACGCATGATGTAGCCACTTTTCGAGGCTTATTAAAGTTACAAGTTTAATAAAATTAGCTGTTTTCTCTGTAAATCTAAACAAAATGATGTTTTTACAATTTCTTATGCAACTTTTATAAAACAGGAAACAAAGTTAACACAATGACTTTTCATAATTATTTACAAAAATAAAAAATCAAAATTAAAAAGGTGTTACTCGGACCAGACAATTTTTGTTTTGGATTTTTCCTTCGCAAGGGAGCAAATTCAATTCAACCATTACCAAACATTAAAAAAAAATCTTTCTTCAGACTTATTTATAAAAAATAGATAACTAATTTGTAAACACTAATAAAAAAATTAAATATTATAAATTTATAAAGTTTCATAAAATAATTATTATTATATAATCGAATTAGTATTTTATATATTAAATGAATAAATATATTTATTTATATGAAAATATTTTGAATCATTTGTTCTCATAAATCTTATAATAAATAATAGTGTAAAACGTTTGAACAATTGTTCATATAAAAATAAAATATTAAGTGAGCATAATAACAATGGATTGAGTGAACAAACCTAGAGAATCAGTCCCACAAAGGAAAGCATAGACATTGCTATCAAGAACTGAAACTGGGCTGTGATTTTCCAAGCCGTATTCACTCTCTATCGTCAATAGTGGCTGCTGGGTTCTCACGTTCTTTCTCATTTTTGGCTCAACAAACCCTTTCTTTTGCTTATTTTGCAAAGAATTCACTTTTAACCTTGAGCTTGAAGTAGCACCACTACATCTATAACTACAACTCTTGGAGGAGCGTGAGGATTCACCAAGATTTAGACCCTTTGAGCTATGCTTAGAAGAAGGGACCCTTCTTGGTTCATTCTTCAACTTGGAAATTTTCTTGTTCTTCCCTTGATTCCTCTCCTTCTTCGCACTCACAATCTCCTTGTTCCTACTCCTATGCCTCTTCCTTAGCCTCAAATCTCCCAAACCCATTTCCAATTTCTTCAACTCAGGTCCATCTTCCTGGTCTTCACACACTTTACCATCCATGTAAAGCACAAAATTATCACATTTTTTTGGCCTCTGAACCAAACCAGGAACTTCTCTGAATGATGCTGAGGTCTTCACTCTACGATGCTCTGCATGGCCTAAATCAAACTCAAGCATGTAATCCACAAAATTCACTGACCTGCTTCTGGGAACACAATCTGGGGTGGTTCCATTCACAACCCATTTGGACTTTGGCAATGAATCTAACCCCATTAACCTTGCCACTACTCCAGGAGTAGCTCCATCATCACCAACCAGTGTTTCTTTGTTAGAATGATGCACCTTTTGTTTTTTTTCATCTGATTCAGTGACATGATCTGATGGATGCACTGGAGGACTAGTTGCATTTCCAGCACAAAGAAACACACGTAAGAAACTAGAGAAACACCCATGTTTTGGTTTTTCTAGTTTTGCCATGATAGAGATTCCAATCTGCAACTGAAACTGCTGCTGAAGGAGGTAGAAAGTTGTAATGACGAGAAGAGTTTGGTCACTGTAATGGTTGAAAAGTAGAGAAAGAGAATGAGGTGTTGCAGCAGTGCGGTGAAGTTTCAATGTCAATAAAAAGGCGAAAACCTGTTTGTTTAAGTGCACTTTAATTCTGACTTCAAAAAATTCCTTAATTTTAACCGGTCCTTAATGTTGGTGTCAAATGTAATAGAAAAAAGTTTCAAGTGTATTATCACTTCTATTTAAAAATATTTTGTGTTAAACATCTTTATTATTAATATATTATTTATAAAAAAATTAAATAAAAGTGACAATAGACACATTTTAAAAAACTTATTTTGAAATTGAGCATTTTGCAAAGTGATAATAATGAAAAGATGATTTAATAAGTAATACATATTTATCTTTTTAACATTTGAGTCTGAGTATCAGGTATATAAAAAAAATGCTAAGAGAATTAGTCCCATTATAGCATAAATGTTTCCATCTTGAATAAAATTATCTACTATAAAATGGTTTAAAAAAGTAATAATAATATCATAAAGTCACAAAATTTAGTGTAAATAAAAGGGTGATTATCCATGATTATAGAATAAAGGGAGGTGGGTGAGAAAGGGTGGATGAGTTCACATTAGATTTGGGAGATTGGGATGCTAATTTACCAAGATAGGGTGTACGAAAGGGTACATTATTGACGAATATTGGATGAAAAAGCAGTGACTCTGCCAAAGAATTTAGTAATTAGTAATGAATCATGTGGTTGCAGTCCAAGTCATAGGAGGCTGCCAAAACGTGTGAATGTTGTTATGCCATTTTGAAACACAGTGTTGCCGAAGTTGCTGACTTTTGAGGTCGGAGAAAGCAATGTGGTCCACCACACTTGAGGGAAATGGGATCTTCTTACTATTCCTTTCAAGAACTGCACCGACTTTGTTGACTCATTTGTAGGTTTGGGGGATTCTGAATCGGCCCAATTTGTGTTTGTTCTATAATGGTAAGCCTATTTATTATGGGCCCATACATTCGAACCCTAAAGTGTGTTGCAATTTAAAATGTGCAGACACCAAAGCTTTTAGAATGTTTCCAACTTTCCTATTGCTGAACCATATATAAATATATATAAAAAGAGGTTAAATATATTTTTCATTTTTATAAAATTTTAATTTAATTCTTTAGTTTTTTTTATTTTTCTCTGTATTTCTTTTTAATTATCATTTTTTGTTAATGTGACAAAACAAAAAAATTAAAATATAACAAAAATATAGAATTAAAAATATATTTACACCTATGAAAATGTCTACATTTCACCCAGTCAATTTTTCCACCCAAATTTCATTTCGTGAGATATGTGTATTATCAGACATACTATTATTTTAATACTATAATAATATTATCAAATATTCTTAAATGATATCTCTTTGTGAACGGGAATAACTTTATGAAAATAATTATTTTATCAATAAAAATATTATATCATTGAAAAATATGATAAAATGTTCAATTCTTTAGTACAGATTATTTTCTATATTTATATAAAATAAACGTAAACTAATAATATAATATTATAAAATCAGAATAGTTAAAAAAATATGATACAGTAACACTTTGAGAAATATGAAGAGTAGTAGTGAGAACTATGAATCCTAAAGGTGTTATTGCTATCAGTAGATGGGTTAAAGATGACAAATTAATAAATTTCATATGAAATGATTGTGACTATGTCGACACTTATCTTCTTTATGATGTTATAAAAGAGATATGTGCGAGGTATACAAACATATAAAGTATGAGTGGTAGAAGCTATGTTGACAAAGAGGAAATATGTCTTGATTTGGGATAAAATGTTCAAACTTTCCCTTTTGAATTTCATTGGTTTCTCAACTGCTAAAAGGATTTTTCAAGGATGCATACAATTTAAGCTACTTTTTCATTTAGAAAACTTGTAAATCACTTTTTGCATTGTTGGTATTGGCAAATTTCCCATTCTAAGGTGATAGGGTTACCTAACCAGGCAAAAAAGGCATAGTATTTCTAATATATTTGCTTAAGCAAATTTAACAAACATTCAGAAGAAGAGACAACATGCACATATAATTCAAATAACATATTTCAATCAATTCAATAGAAACATATATGATATGAAAATACATGAAAGACATATAATCCAAATAAAACTGACTTCTATAATATTTTAAAAGCATTTTTATATTAAAAGAAACAACAACAACAAGAAAACTAAATAAATGTTTTAGGGAAAGTATGTGAGGTTGCAATATGGAATTGAAGCAATGTTGGGTTTAGGGTTATGATTGGGAACAAAGGAATTTGCTTGAGAGGAGAGGAAAGGGAATAAATGAAGAAGTGGAACTATTCTTCAAAATAACTTTTAAAAAGTTTAACCATCGTAAAATTCTCTTAAGTATCTTATTCTCGCTTAAGCAAAAAAAAAAAAAAACACGTTTAAATGAGAAAATTTTCACTTAAGCAAGAAAAAACTCACTTAAGTTAATTTTGTTATTTTTTTGCGTAAAAGGCAAGTGTAGTGACGTATTGTTGAATAAATAGGCATTTGAAAGCTTTCGTTATATGAAACACTTAATTAGAACTAAATGTCTTGCAAGAATATCATTGTCTTTGACAAATAATAATAAATTTGTTGTACATGAGCTTCTTGAAGAGCATAATTACATATTACAACTTTAAAAAATAACACACATGCTTGTTTTGCATTGTAAGATAACTGAAGTTCAAACTCATGAAATTGATTTGGCTGAGTCCTCAAGATTGCAACAAAAGTCATCATTTCAACTCATGAGCACATTTATAAGACATTGAGCTAATGTTGGATATACTCGCTTGGACATAAAAAAATAAATTAAAGGCAAAGAGACAAAAGGGAAATATGGAGAAGCCAGTTGTCTAATGAAATACAAATGAATGTCAATGAACAAATCATAAATATTTTTAGGCAAATGCAAATATAGTGACTGATTACAAGTTTTTTAGTAAAGTCGTATTGCTAGACACTACATATTATACCAATCGAGCTATTAGGCCTCTAGCATTATTTTTAGATTTTAACCATTATAGAGATGTTGTTCTCTTCAGAGGCAGCCTTATTGTATGATGAAACAAAAGAATTGTAACATCCTAAAAAAAATATAAGTCAATTCCTGAACCTTAATTGTTTTTTGTTGATGTATTTTTAGGAGAATTTTTTTTTCTTTTTCTTCCTTCTTTCTTCCACTTTTCCTTTTTCCTTTCTGATATCATGTTACGCCGATGTTATTTTTTTATTTTAGCAACTATTATTATTTCTTTTTGGTTATTTCTTAATTTTCAATTTCATTTTAATATGCTTGAATTTGGACTGTTTTGTTGCCCATATTTATTTTTACTACTATGTGTTATTACAATGACAATTTATTATAAATTCCTAATGCCTTGGTTACATTCCAAGCGTAAATGCTAAACTCTTTTCTCTTCCCTCTCTAGATAATAAGTCGCTTATGAATACATGTATAACTTTCCTTTTTCATTTTGAATTATCTCTTCCCTCTCACCGTGAAAATTACACAAAAATTTTCCTTTTTAGAACCTAAACGAGAAAGTTGAAAAACTTTTTGTTTTCCTACTTCTCTCTAATAACTCATGTGACAACTACCATTAATAACACTAATAAAGGCATGATTGTTGTCTATCTGTTTTAGCTCATATTCTGAGGAATCATTCTCTCTCCACTGCAATAAAAAAACACGAGCATTCTAAAGGACATGGTCTAACCTCTCTTTTTAATTTAAATTTGCATGATTAGTACCTATTAAATGCCTTATAAAAACAATGCTCCATAAATTAGTTGCATTTATTCTGCATGTTCTCTACCTCCATGAACCACGTTAGGCATGACTTCCTCATCATTTCATGCATTTCTTCAAATCAACTTCCCTTGCATGCTTTAGTTTTTCTCTCAGTAAGCAACCACCCTTAAATTGCCTTATTCCCTGCATTAATTGTAAAAAAAGACTAGGAACGTGAATGATTGTCTATGAATCATGCTTATAAACCCGCCACCATATTTAAACAGCCTAAGAAATACCTCACTCATGTTACCATTCAAATCATGCACATTCCACCAAGCCTATAATTAATTTCTATTTCCAAACCTTTCTTCTCTTAGAGTTACGTCTCCATATTTAATGTGCTAACTAATATTCCCATAATGAAAATGTTGTGCATGGTATAAGTGATATTAAAATAATGCAAGAAGATTTGAAGATTAGTAGCAAAAGGTGAGACATTTTTCAACCAACCCTTAATGGAAAGAGAGAGTGTGTGGTTACATTAAATGGCTAGATTAAGTGGCTATTTTCTCCACTGACCCTAACCAATTAGGTGACGCTTAGTGAAAGAAAAAAAAGGACCAATATAAATTGGTGGATCAGTTCTCTTACATATTGACACATACATATAAAAGGGAGACTTGACCTCCCTTGTTTCATTTTCTTACTTTTAAGAGAGAGACACACTAATTAAGAGAAACACCAAGAACACCAAGAGGCTAGAGCTACCATCCCTCAGACTACACTCGTTTTGCAATTTCCCTCACCCTTACCCTCCATCTTTCGACTTCCACACAAGCAAACAAGTCTTCTTTTCGAGATTCTGTTGTAGGAAAGAAAATCCTTAGGCTCCTCTACCTTCCTCTATCTTACGACTAGATGAAGGTAAGGGGGAGTCTTAATGTTGTTGTAATTTATGTGTGAAATGAAATCTTGTGTGTGTTCTAATTTTTGCTGCCCTTGAATGAAAACTAAATAGTTGTATGCATGTTTTTCCATTAACTTCTTTGCATTGTGAATAAATTGCTGGATGAAAAGTGGTTTAGATTCCTTGCATGTTGCATGATCATAATACTACTTATATTGCATGCGTCATTTTCTTATTTTTTATGCATTTTATTCCCTACATGAGTTCCTTTAACTAGATTCAATGACTAATGCTACAGAAACATGAGAACATATAATTTCTCTAATGGTGATCTTCTGAAAATTTGTTCTCGGTAATCATATCCCCTAAGTTGT